CCTTCCCCCTCACCTGCCTCCCCGGCGTGTCCTGTCCCCAGGCACCAATGAAATGACCCCCGCCGCTGATTACAAGAGGGGTGGAGGCTTTGACCGCTGAACCCACACCTGCTCGCGTGGTTGACCTTTAATGGTCCAGCCCTGGAGCTTGTGAGCGCTTTAATTTGGGTTTTTTAAAAGCCCGGTCTAGGAAGAAGCTGGAGTTTCATTTGCCATCAAAACGTGACCCCTGCTGGAAGACCAGGGATGTGGCTTCTGGTTATCCATGAGGACAGTCCCGCAGAGGTGGCATAGATGTGATTAAGGTGACATGTCACAGCTGCCACTGACCGTATAACTGAAAAAAAGGTTGGCTTAAAAAGAATTCTTACAGTATTCACCCAGCTGAAAGGGCAAAAACTCTTGCTTTGGGATTTTTTCATCAGTGGGATTGGGTTTTACAGAATTACAGGAACCTGTGAGGTTTTCCTGCAGGGCTGTGTGATCCTTTTTTAATGGGGATTCTCTTGGCAGGAAGTTCTCAAAACACTCCCAGTAGCAGCAATGCATTTGAGGATGTAGTTTGTTCCCAGACTCAGACCAGCCTGACATTTTCCCAATGGCAAAATATTTAAATAAAAACAAAGAGAGCGTCAGGCTGGTAGGAGTTTTTTTAAACATACATCCAATTTACTGTGTAAGGAAAATAAATTCGGTTTGTGAAGGCCCCAGGCCTGCCCTGGCTGCCATGTGGGCTGTGTCAGCTCTCTGCTGGCCTCTCTGTGTCCCCTAAAAGGACCCAGCTGGATGAGCATCCCTGCCTGGGAAGGAGCTGATGGTGCTCTGTAGATGGCAAAGATCCTGCAGGAGCAGGTCTGTCTGGAGTGGAATGTCTGTCCCACAGCAAAAGGGGTGTGTGAGGCAGGAAAGACCCTCAGTTCCTGGGCTGGGAAGGCAGAGGAGGTGGCTGGGTACCAGAGGGTGGGTTCAGAACTCAAAGGAGAGCCTGGCTTTGGGGCCTAGGCTCTGTGGAGCAAACAGGGAATTCTGGCAGGTGTTGCAGGACCATGAAAGACATTCTTGTAGGAAGAGTTCCCAGCAGTTCCATGTCCCTGCTGCAAAGGGGCCCTCGGGGGAGCTTTTTAAAATCCTAATTCTGAAAGGTTTCACTAAGCAAAAAAAAAGCTCATGTTTATCAGATAAACCAGCATGTATTCTATGGTTTTAGCTTCTGTGAGCTCTCTTGGGTATGCTCATCCCTGGTTACACTGTCTGGAAGCAGAGGCAGAGCTGCCACACATGGAATGGTCTCAGCCTGGAGCAGGGCTCAGGTGGGGTCTTACCCATGAACAGCTCAGGGCAGCCTGAATTCGGAGCTGGCCTCACACCCAGACTGGTGTCACCTTCTCCCAGGCCTTTGAAGGGTATTTCAGGTTTCAGCAGAACAGCCCTGAGGTTTCCATGTCCCCTGGGAAGCCCCCTGGGACTCCTGCCTTGATGCCTGGTCAGGGAACAGCCAGTGGAGCACAAACCAGGGGCTGCCACAGAAACCTTGGGCTGAGGGTTGAGGGTCAGTGTCAAAATAGGGAAGTGGAAACAGCACAATTTTATAAATCCTGCTTTGTTGTTAGAGACCAAAGACTTCCTGTTTGGGGATCTCAGGGCTGTTTCCATTTCCACTGCAAATGGGGAGAGACTGGCCATAAACCTCATGTTTACTTCATGATTTCTGCTGCTTTCTACATGTGCTGAAATGGTTTTCAGGTGGCCACAACATTTTGTCAAAAATAGAAATGGCAGCTGAGAGAGGAAAAGCAGTTTAATGTCAGCCTGATCTTTAAAAACATTTTCTTTATTGGTATTGAAGGGCCCATCACCACAGTACTGTGCCCAGTGTCATAAATATTCCATTATTCTTATGAATCAACTGAGATTTCAGTGTTTTCAGTTCTTCCTTACAGTCCTCATGGAACATTTAGTCTGTAGTTTTGTCTTTAAAGCCAATAAATTAGCCACAAAGTAATCTCCATTTAACCAGTGCAGCGATTCCAGGTACCCACAGCACTCACAGGGGAAGACCAAAGTGCTGCTGTTCTGTGGGAACTTACACAAGGGAATTGCACAGTGTCATTAAGTACCAGAATTTACCAAAAGGAAAGTGGACTAAAAGATACAAACTTGAAAGTTAAAAAAAAAAAAAAAAAAAAAGGAAAAATCTTAGGGAGTATTGTGTAACTGTCTGAATTCAGAAATAAGATGCACCAGAATTCAAGTGGACTGGAATTAACAGCTACAGAGGAAATCCCAAACCCACGGAACAGAGTGGCAATTCCTGCACCCAGTCACTGGATGCACCTGTGGGCTCCAGCTCCTCATGGAAAAGGAGTTCTTTTAGGATACTCTGCAAGGGAGGGAGCTGGGAAGAGCAGCTGGAAAGGAATTTGGGTCTGCAGAAACTCCCTCAGCCAGCACTGGTGTAAGAGAAGGCTCCGTCCTGCATCCCAGGATGGCCACAGCTGGATCCTTCCTTAATCCTGGGATGGCCACAGCTGGATCCCCCCACATCCCTGTATGGTCACAGCTGGATCCCTCCTGCATCCCAGGATGGTCACAGCTGGATCCCTCCTTAATCCTGGGATGGTCACAGCTGGATCCCTCCTGCATCCCGGGATGGCCACAGCTGGATCCCTCCTTAATCCCAGGATGGCCACAGCTGGATCCCTCCTGCATCCCAGGATGGTCACAGCTGGATCCCCCCACATCCCAGGATGGCCACAGCTGGATCCCTCCTGCATCCTGGGACAGCCACAGCTGGGGGGTGGCACCACGATTAAGGATGGAAAGGGAAAAATTTCAGACTATTTAAAATGTGCTTAGGAAGGTCACAGGTTTTCACTTCTTGAAGTACAGAAAATGAGACCTTATCTGAAGGTTCAGCCCTAAGTTTTTCCCAAAACTATTCCTGTGGGAGCTGAACGTGGAACAGGCCTCTGGTCCCGTTTAGGAGCAGCCCTGGGGGCTCTGGTTGTTCACTGAGTGTTATTTTTGCCTGTCTGTAAACCGAAAGTGTCCTGGTCTGAAGGGACCTCCTGGGTCCAGCAGTCCAAGCAGGCCCTGCCCAGAGCAGGCACAATCATCCCAGAATCCCAGAGCATCCAGAGCTGGAAGGGACCCACAAGGATCACCCAGCCCAGCCCCTGGCCCTGCACAGACACCCCAAGAACTGCTGCTCAGTGATGGCTCCACTGAGTCTTCAGCTCCTCCAGGATGGGATTCCACAGCTTTGCTGGGAACAGGGGGTGGGGCTGATGCTGGGAATGTCCTGGAGCCACCCTGTCCCTGTCCCTGTCCCTGTCCCTGGGCAGGGAGGGGGCCCAGCCAGGCCCCTTGTGCCACTGCCACCTCCTGTCAGACTCACCTGCAGCACAGAGAATTCCTCCTGTGTTTGGAATTGCTCATGGAAAGGCTGGATTATCCCAGGCTGCTCCCACCCACCCCCTCGGGCAGGATTTTACTGCTCATCTCAGCACTGACACCGAATTTAAACATTTAACTGAAACATTTCATCCCAGCTCCATTCCTGTCCCACGGATCTGCACCTTGCCAGGGAATGCTGAAACCTCCGAGCTCAGAACCCCCCAAGAAGAAAACTCCACCAGCAGTTTCAGTAATTCAATAATTTATTCATCTAAAAAAGTGTGTAAAAGTATATAGCTCTCATCCACAAGGTATATATGAATGACATTTAAAATGGAGGTCTTTTATTATTATTGTTTCTTTTTATCAAAGTCTTTTTTCTTAGTGTATTGTACCAGCGATATACTGTAGATTTAAAATGAACTTCACATTTTTTTTTGTTTTCTTTCAAATTGTCGGCTATATATAAAAGAAGCTCACTGCAAAATGCTCAGAGAAAAAAAAAAAACAACCAAAAAAAAAAAAAAAAATAAAAAAAAAAAAAAAAAAGAACTTCAGAACTCCCCAGAAATGTACAGCTTTTACATTTAAAAAAGGTTCTGAAATATACATACAAGCATGCTGGACATCCCCCCCCTCCCCTCCCGTCAGCCCAAACCACTGCCAGAAGAATTCTGAGTTAGGCATGATTTTCCAAAGTTAGAAATAAAAATTAAAAAAAAAAAAAAATTAAAAAAAAAAAAAAAAAGAAAAGAAAAAATAAAATAAGTTTCTTCACTCTGTAGGAAAGCCAGGGCTTGTACATTTCAGATTAATTCAGTAAAAAACTCACAAGTAAAATAATGCATATTTAAGGGAAATATTATACAGAACTTTTCACACTGAAGTACATAAGATTTTTTTCTTTAAAATCTATTGCCATTCATTTATTTTGCACAAAAACGTATAAATATGTCACCAGCTTCTCTTAACTTAAAAAAATTAAATAAAAGACACCAGATGAAAACTACTCCTTGCTGCCCTTTTTTTTTTTTTATTTCTAATTTTTGCTTAGAACCAGGTTTGTGGGGAAGAAACGCCCCTGGATAAAAACGGCCCATTTAAAAACAATAAACAAAATAATAATCCAAAGTTCAGATGAATCCTGGGAACAAATAACCCCCAAATGGTAAAAGATTACAAATGTCTACTTTACATTTTTTTCCTCCCCAAGTTAAATTTTTTTTTTTATACAAGTTTACAATCTTCATCTTTTTATGCTCTTCAAAAGGCCTTGAGAATTTTCTTTTCTGATTAAGAAAAAATAGTACTGCAATATTTTTAAAGTCAATTTTACACTGTACACATTAGATACAAATGGTTTGATATCAGATTTTTTTTTTTAACCTATACATTGCAAAGAGGATACGATACCCACGTGGAGGTGTGTGCAGAGAAGGAAATAATCCATTTACAGGCTCCTCCTCTGCCTCCACCTTCTCATTACACAAGCAATTCTTTTTTTTCTTTTTTTTTTTTAATTATTTTATAGAATTTGTTTTAAATGTTACATCATCTCAAGAAAAATACTTTTTAAAACCATAGAATTTTATTTTTTTTAAATTTTTTTTTTTTTTAATTATTATTATTATTATTATTATTTTTAACCAGAACACACGAAAAGTCTTTTTTTGGAAGAACTTTTTTTTCAAACTCGGTGGTTTTTTGTTGTTTTTTTTTTTTTTTTCTCCCTGGACAGGTCAGAAGGTCACTCAGCCTGACCAAAGTGACCCAACCCCTGCCCAGTGCCCCCCCAAACACGAGGAAAAGGGGCTGGAAGTCCCCAACCCCTCAGAGCCTGGGATGAAGGAGCCATAAAAACCCTCCCCACCATCCCACTGCTTTGCCACCACGGTTGGTGTCGCTTTTTCAAGTACTAATTTAACCATACAACTTCTTGCTTGTCTGTTTGTTTGTTTAAAAATTATTTCTTTGAAATAATATTCCTATAGTCAGACAAAAATACACCAGGTTTGCAACTGATTTAGTGTAAACAAAAAAACAAATCGTATTTTTGGATATGTACATTGGACGAGTGTGCCCAGAATTCAAGGGCGACCTGGCTTGCAGTAAATAGCTTTCTGGCATCACTGAATTTATTGGAAATATATCTCAATCAGAGCTCTATGATAGATTCATTTACCACTTTCCACTCGCCCTCACACTGGGCTTTAAAGTATTTTTCCTCCCTACCTCTCTCTCACTCTTCTCCCTTAGGTAGTGTTTTCCTTCATTGAACACTGGCCATTCCTTGCTTTAACCAGGCTAAACCCAGGTGAGAATTCCTGAAAATGCAATATATCCTTCCCTTCCCAGCTTGGACATGAACTGTGAAGAGCTTCACTTTTGATTTCTGGGGCAGAAGAGTGAGAGGTCTGTAGATAAATAACCCCACAGTGGAACGGAGCTGGATTTTGAAGATATTCTACTGTTCCTGGTCCTTTATAACTTAATCCCTCCCCTCCCCAAACCTAAAAATAAATAAAGTATCTCCAGACCATTCATATCTACATGGACAGGTAACAAATGCATGCATTCATCCCGATCCACTCTGACAGGAACTCCAGGTAGACAGAAAACTCCAATATTTATACGAGACTACAGCTGTGTGGTTTTGTGGTCGTGGTTTTTTTTTTTCCTCCTGCAAAGTCCCAGTTTACGAAGATCAAACAACAAAACACCCCAGCTGGTCACCACGAGGTGGTTTTGCTGGCAGGGCCGAGCCTGCTCTCGGTTGTGCATCAGTTCCTAATGCAAAACAAAAGATCCTGTAGTCTTCCTTAAAAAAATAAAATAGTAAAAAAAAAATAATCACACACCGACCAGTAGTTACTGGGCCACCAAACTAACACTGGCTTGAGGTTACTCTGTGTTCACTGTTCTTGGATGTTCCCAGATTTTGGACTGAAGCTGCCGGAGGTGCCGATGGGGGTTCAGTTCCGAGCACTGCGGGATCCCCGTGCGCTGTGGGGGGACAGAGGCACAGCACGGGACTGGGCTGAAGAGGAGCGGAACCGTGGGCTCTGCGGGCTGTGGCACGTCTGTCAGGCCGAGGGGGGCCGAAGCCAGAGGAAGAAGAAGTGCTTTGTGTCCCTCAGAGGATGTTCATGATGGCGTTGTAGAGCTGGGTGAGCACCACGAAGTGCACGGGCAGGCAGGAGCTGCGGTCCTGGGTGGCCGGGTTACACGTGAGCCAGGACAGCGCGTTGTACTGCTCCAGCACGAACCTGGGGGCACACAGCACTGCTCAGCCCGGCCACACCGACCCACAGGGGGCTCTGACAGCACTGCCAGGGGGGTGGCAAAGCAGGGACCTCACTGGGAAGCAGGGGAAGCAGAGTTTTCCGTTTTGCAACGTCTGAACTGGAACCAAACTGGAATGCAGGGCCTCCCCAGCTAGAGAGGGTGGACTCAAAGAGGTTCCAAGGCCACTGTCTTCAAAGCCCTGAGGCTTGAGCACCTCTAAGGTGTTCCACAGCCTCTCTGGGCAACCTGTGCCAGTTTTTGATCACCCTGTTCCTGGGATCCTGTGTCTGATTAGACTTTCTCCTCTTGTAACTTACATTGCATCTCATCCCCTCCCTATGCACTCACTGCATCCTCAGTACCCCAAGACAGCTTTGAGAGCTCAGTCCTCTAAGAGGGTGCAAATTCAGATCTTCTGGAATAATACACCACCAGTTTCCCAAATTAGATTACTCTTCCTGCTCCCTGTTGATACTCTGTTTGCTCCCTGGTGTGTCCTGCACTGTGTGCTCTCACAACACAGACCTGGAGGCAAACAGGCCTCTGGTTATCCTGAACAACCCAGCATCCTCTCTGCATTAATTCAGGAGCAATGTCTCCATTACATCCCAATTCCTACAGTAGTGGTATCAGGAGGGTACTTCTATCTCCTATAAATCCATTTGGTTGGGTGAGTAAAAATAATCACTGGCACAGCCCAGATTGGACCCTGAGTGAACAGGACAATCTGTGGGAGGCAAACCAAGGTGTCTCCTTGGTGAGGCTGAGCTGCCTCTGAGTTTCCTTTGGATTGTTGTGTATAGGGGTAGGAAACCCACTGAATTCCCCCTCAAAGCCCTGCCCTGGGGGGGAAGGAGACAGCAGCTGGAGCAGATGCTCCACTGCCCACAGACACATGTAGGGCACAGCACAGTTATAAACTGCTGATAAAACCCACAAATAACTTTGCCAGGTTGGAAAGATCCCTCTGAAACCCCTGAAGTCAGTGCCCAAACCTTTAGGGAGGAAGTGCAGAACCTAAAAGGTGTTACCTCAAGACATCTGATGTAGTTTTAGAGTCAAGGGGGTGAGGAACTCGCTGAGAATTTCTGGCAGGTAGGAGCTCGTCTGTCTGCGCTACAGAGATGTGGTGATGCAGTGAGGCCTGTGCAGAGGGAGAAAGCAAAAGTTAATCCTCATCTGGCAGGTTCTGCTCAAGATTCCCAGGGAACAGATCCATTCTGGATCACCTCAGGACAGCAGCAAGTTGGCAGTTCTGGGTTGGACACACCACAACCACGGGTATTTCCAAGTTAATGGTTACTTTTTAAATAAACTTTTCTTTTTGACTGGAATCAAGGATCTTTAAAAAAAGAACACTGAATTCTGTTCTGCATGTTAGTCAGGGAGGAAGAGATGAGGGGAACCCTTGGGCTGTGCCAGTGGTTCTTTTGGAGTTTCAGTAACAAACCACACTGAGTCTCCAGGCTCTCCCAGCAGCAGGCCATAAAAACATAAAACTTCATCTCTAGCTCCAAAACCAGGGTGGTTTATTTTTCATATTATTTTGACATCTCCCTTGTGTGGGTTTAAAGAAATGCACACTCTTGAGGGATGTGTGTCCGTAAAGGGCAGAGTGTGAGGCCCAAGGCTCTGTGTAAGGCCCAAGGCTCTATGTAGGGACCAAGGCTCTGTGTAAGGCCCAAGGCTCAGTATGAGGACCAAGGCTCAGGGGAAGGCCCAAGGCTCTATATAAGGTCCAAGGCTCTAGGTAGGGACCAAGGCTCTGTGTAAGGCCCAAGGCTCAGTGCTCTGCCCATGAGGTGCTGCCTGAGCCCCAGCCTGCCATGGTGACTGTGGGTCATTGCTCACATCAGCCCTGGAATGGCTTTGTTTGCCTGAGGAAAAAATTTAGTTAAGAAACTTCAAAAGATGTTTAAGATTTCTTAATTAAGCTGGGAGTGGATCAAAAAGAGGTATTAACTTTATCATTCTATATGTTGTTTGAATGTGATGCCACTCAGGACACATTTTCCCCCTGCTTTTCACCAGCTCACATTTTATGATTCATTCACACAAGAAGCTGCAGGGGACTGCCCAGGGCTCAGTGGATCTCCAGCAGCTGAACCAGGTCTGCTGTGGGCACCTCACAAGTTCTGGGGGGAGGTCTCAGGTTCACCCTGACACCACAGTCTCCAATGTGCAAACTCTACCAGCAGGGAAATAGCAATGGACAGCAAGTGCTCTGTGGAGCAGGACAGACCTTCAGGAAGAGGGGACACTGGTTCTGTGCCTGAGGGCAGGAGGACCAGAACCACTGTGGAAGGTTCTCAGCTTTGGCAGTCGACACGAAGTACCCCAGGGCCAGAGGCTGCTGCTTCAGCTCTTCAGGGGCTTCCCTGGACAGGAGACGTTCCCCTTGGCTCTGAAAGAGGAGTGGGAAAGGCAGCTCTGTTGGTTTAGGTCATTACATCCCACTCCAGTAACACTGGTTTTGTTTGCTAATTACTGTCTTATGATTAATGAGCCACCCTTTAGTCATTCAGGAATCTTGCTCTAAGTTGTCTAATCCCTTTTCCCCCCTGCAGTTGGTTCTCCAGGCTGATGCTCCAGCAGCACTGCAGATTCCCAAACAGCAACACCAACCTCCTGAACTGGATGGAGAACATGTGGAATTTGATGCTACAGAGTCACTCAGAGGTACTGAGCTCTGGCTGTGACTCTGAACAGCAACCTGAGTGCCCATGGAGAGCAGACCAGTGTGGGACTGGGCTTCAGAAACCCTCACAGGCTTTTCCTCTGCACATCCCACCAGCAGTCTGCACTGCACATCCTCCTGCCTCCAGCCCTGGAAGGATGTGCCACACTCCAGCGTGGGAGAACAGAGGATCTGCAGCTGGGTAAGGCTGGTTGTGTTGCTTTTCCAGGGAGTTGCAGTGATGGCTTTGGAAAAAACTGCTGCACTTCTGCTCCTGGCTCTGGCCCCTTGCACAGCAGTTACTGTGCTTGGATTACATTTGTATTGCCAGGCAGGGGAAGAGAGAGGAAAATATGTCCTGCTTTTGCACTTATGTCACTTTATTCATTTATATATAGACTCCATCTTTGCAGTGTTAGTTACTCACGTTGTTTTATATGGACCAAAGAGTTACTTGGAGAGGAGAGAGTTAAACAAGAAATGGGCTGTAAAACTAATTTCTTCAGACTCTGAGTCGCTCCTTGTCAGCAAGTGTGGTTGTGATTCTATTTCTGTGCAGTAAAGCCCAGATGAACCTTTCCATACCATACCAGATGAGCCTTCCATTCCCAAGGCTGTGGGACAGCAGTGCTTGGTGGAAGCTGTCCTGTGTGTGTGTGTACACATATCCTGAGCTGTCATGATCCACAGGGATCTCCTGAGCTATCAGAAGGTGCCTGCCAGCCCACTCCACAGCATATTACTATTTTAAATGTGTTTGGAACACACACTTTGGAAACACTCTTTCTTATTTTACTTTCATTTCATAGAGGAAAAACCCAAAAGAAGCCTGCAAAGTGTTTTAGCTTGTAATTTATCCCTGCAGAACTGGGAGAGCAGCTCACTTAATCCATAAATACCTTTTATGTCAATAGGTTAAAAAAAAACCCTAAAATATTCCCCTGCACAGAAACCAGCTTAATCTCAAACCCTTCACTGCAGGTCCTGGTCAGGAATCCCAGGAAGGCAAGCATTCCATGGAGCCTGGAGCAGGCTCAGCCTGGCCTGGGCACAGCCATCAATTATGGGACACAGGGACAGGCCTGACCTCCCGCCCCACCAGGGGATGATCACACGCTGGGCTTGGTTAAAAACAGAATTACACTGCAATTACCAGCCCTGTGTTAATGGTTAATTTGAATTACTCTGTCCAGGTCTCTCCTGGCCATTAACTCCCAGGGCTGCTCCTGAGCAGCTCCATGGGGAGTGAGTCCTGTAAAGGTGTTTGTGGAAGTGCTACAGAACAGACCCTGCAGAGTGAACTGAGGAGAAGGAAGTGCCCTGAGTGAGGGGCTGGGATTTCTGGCTGCAGGGTTTGGTCACAGAACTCAGAACCTTTCATTTGCCCCCATCCCAGCCTGGAATAACCAGGGCCAGCCCCGTTCCTTACCTCTGGAGGAGGAGCTGCACCATCAGCACAAAGTGCTGTGGTCTGAGCTCACAAAACAGGGTCAGCACTCCTGAGGCTGAGGCAGGAGCCCCTTCTCCCTCACACTCTGTGCTCAGCTGCCACTGAGGCATTTGGCAGAGGCTGTCAGGAGAACACAGACAGGACACTGTCCTTCCAGGGGGTGACACTGCCACCACTTAGCCAGTGGTGTTCAGGGAGTGGGAGTTCCTGTCTCAGGACACTCCATCCACAGGTGGGAATGCTCTGGCACAGGCTGAATGAGCAGCACCAGTCAGGGGGAGTATCTGGGTTGGACCTACACCTCCTCTCAGTACCTGCTCTGCACTTCCTCTCCTGCCACATTTACAGTCTCCCCTGAGACTTCAAAGCCACCAGTGATAGTCCAGATCCACATCCAAAGAAATTATTCAGATCAAATAACCCAGAACTTTTAAATGCAGGGGGTTCTCTGTTTCTGGTATAAAAGTTGGGCTGTTTCTGTAATAAAATACTGTATTATTTAGTAAAGAAGTAATATGGTACTGCTTTTAATGTACTACTTTTGGAATAAAACTTCTCCAAAGGAAATTATGAAGCATCAAACTTCCACCTAATTGTGATGGAAACCATTTTAAGAGAACAGCTCAGTCTCACACAATTAAATGCAGGAGTGAGTGTTCCATTAAACCTGATCTAAGTTATGCAAAAGCTAATTCAAAAAAATACCTTGAATTACCACAAATAATTTGCATTTTAAGTGATCACTGATGTTGGAACTGACTTTATAAAAGCCACTTCAAACAAAAATTACTTACAAACACTATGTGCTCTGGGCTAAATATTCCTAAGAAAACAACATTTGCATAACCATCCAGCACCTGTGGAGTTTCCACGGGCAGGGTTTCATCACTGGGAGAATTATCTCCCTTCTTGCCTCCCAGAAATCCCTGGGAACAGGGCTGTCATTGCTTCCTTTCTCTCAGAAACTTGTCACTTTGTGCCAGGGACATTCTGAGTGATTGTCCAGAAAGGAATGGATGAGAACAGATTGGATTTGTGCAGGTCATCAGCTATGGCTCTGCCACACAGAAATAAAGCCTCTCTCTCCTCCTCCTCCTCTCTTCCTCTCAGTTACCTTGTACACCAACAATTAACATGGGAGATGCAAACACTGCAGAGCCCCTTCTCCAGCAGGACTGAACCAGCACCTTCAGTGTTAACCTGATTTTTGCTGGCTCTTGACCTAATTATGTGTGAGAACCTACAGGAAGAAGTGATTTTGTTGGAGGATTTGGGTCTTTCTTTGTGTTTCCTTTTAAGCAGCAGGTGCCCCCTGGTGCTCCAGCCTTACCCTGCTGTGATGGTAGTGAGATCCCACTCCAGTGCCAGATGGTGATCCAGGGGAAGGAACTGGGGAGGAATTTGGTGAAGAGTGAAGATTCCCTGTTATTAAAATTCTAATGTCATTGTCCATGTCATCTGGGAATGGGAGGTCAAACATGTCATCTGAAAAAGAAAAGAAAGGAAAATCATTTCCAACGTGCTGTACTCTCTTTTTTCCGAGACATTTTTGTAATTTATTACCATTCCCTTTAATTTATGATCATTCCCTTTTTTTCTCTTACATACTCTCCAGGTAGATGAAAGCAGAGATAAACACTTCACTGTTTAATCCTCAGAACCTTTGACTGCAACCACAGAGACTTGAAAGGGAAAGTTAGCAGAGGAGTGTTGAGATAATGAATCTGAGCAGTGGCTGTGCAGGGAACAGAAATCCTGCTGCACCAGCTCCAGCAAATCCAGGCTGAACTTTGGAACAGAGAAATGGGCACCTCTGCAGCTGCTCACAGAAACCCAGCAACAAACCCCTGAGATCCATTAAACAGAGCCCTGAGTGTCACCTGGGCAGGTGCTGCTCCTCAGCCCTTGGGAATGTTCATCCCAGCTCTGGGAACAGCCCTGGTAGCTCCCAGGGAACTGCCCCAGAGCCCCCGAGCAGCCAGGCTGCTCCCCCTCACGTGGACTTGGGGATTCTTTCACATGCTGCACCAGGATTCCCCCCAACACAGCTTTGCACATCCTATTCCCATCCCAGGAATCCCATCCAGCTGCATTATCCAGCTGGCTGGTTTAACCTGGGAAGGCTGAAGGGACAGGGAAGGGCTCTTTGCTGCTCTGAGAAGTGCATTCACTGCTCAGGCACTTGCACGTGGGTTACAATGCCATGAGTAAGTTATGGGAGGGAAGGATGAGGCACCAGAAACAAGGAATTACAGCCAGCACACTGTGGGCTAGAGGGGGATTTCCTACCCAGATTTCTCAGCAGGTAAGGATAAAGTGTATAATGACATTTAAAGTACGTTATAGGGGGTAGAAAGGGATAGTGGGAGCTGTCTAAATTAACTGGATTAATTAGAATTGCAACCAAATTTATATTAAAATATGAAGCCCTAAACAGAAGTCATGCATATCATAATAAATGACAATTTCTCCTGAAAAAGAGGAATTTACTCCACATAAAATGGAAAAGGATGTGTGTCCAGAACTAATTTCACCTGAAGTCCCAGTACTGAAACAGGCAGGTGGTTGTTTTCCTTCATCTCCTGAGGAGAACCTCTGGATTGCCAGGGCAGTGACTTAACTGAGGTTTATGAACTTGTGTCCTCCAGCCTCAGCAAACAAAGCAGAGCTCATGTCATGCTCTGCTTCACCTCCAAAGCATAAATGAGCTGCCTAATGGCATAGGAAGCAGCTTAATCATTAAGCAGGACAGAGTTAAGAAAATTAAATTTAACACCATTTTGGAAAAGGCCAGTCCTTGTACCTGACTCTAATTAGCATGTGCAGCACTAAAGGGCAGGTTAACCCAGGTTAATGTTTGTCAGCACAGCACTGGGGGGATCCCTCCAAGGGACAGGGATTGAGAGGGGCAACTTCCCTCCATGGGGCCCTCTGACATTCCAGCAGGAACAGATCAGAGCACACCCTTTCCTTAAAGCTGGGGGCCTGCCCTCCTCACTGAATACTCCTACTGTACCTGCTTGTAGGGACTCTTGGACTAAATTTCTTTGCAATCATTTAAAGGATTTGTGACAAAGCAGCAAAATGCTCATTCGATATCAAGTCTTAAGCAGAGTCTTGCTGGCACAAACTGCAGGGCTCAATGTGTGTGTAAAAGCACTCTGGGGGCATCAGGGAGTCTCAGGTTGGGCTACTTTACCTATTTTACAGGGAGATCAAAATTCTACGAGTGCCTCCTTCCTCTCAGCTCTGTGCACTGCTGGGAAACAAGCTGGTCTGACCCAGCCACAACAACCAGAAAAAGCATTGTCTAGTCTGTGCCACGGTTGGGCCACATCCCTTTGGGAATAAATCAGTGTGATTATCTGAAAGCAGACTCAGGGGGAGCACAGAGTGTTACCGTGTACCTACAAAGCCCTGTGTGGCTCACCCTGAGTCCAGCTGGGTGCTGTGGGCTCCGTGGGGGTGTTTATTCCCACTTGGTGCAGCTCTGCTGAGGTTCTGGAAAGGCCCCTCTCACCCCCCCAGTGCCACTCACCGTTTGTGGGGCTGAACCCATCCTCGTTGGGGTAATTTGCTGGTGCCACCTGGATGGTGGCAGAGGTTGGGAACACCAGGATGTGTGTGCAGGAGGCGTCCTGGGGGGTGTTGAGCTGGGACGACTGCAGGTTCAGCGCCGTGCTCCGGCCAAACACGGAGCCCATGGTGACAGCATCTGCCAGGGCACAGACAGCACAGACCTCAAGGTGCATCCCCTCCCAGATACATGGGCTGGGTTAGTCACAGTCCTGTCCATCCCACCTGGTTTGCAAGCTCATACACACATTTAAAGGGCCTGATCTTCAAAAGAATAAATTGTTGTAAGAGCTTAAAACTCCGATCACCAGTTGCACAGAGTGCTCAGCCCCACCATTCCTGTCATTCTGCTGCCCCTTGATCAAATATTTACTTGCTAAATGAGAAGTCAAATTGATTTTTCACACCCTCTATATAATTATGAAATATACCCCACTTTGGCTGATAAGTAAAAAGCCTCACTTGCCCTCTATTTTCTCATGTTACAAACCCTCTCCTTTAAGATTTTCAAAATATTCAACTTGGTAAGGAATTTTCAAGCTCAGTTAATTCTGTTCCATGTACTAATCTCTTCTTTCTAAGTGTGAAAAAGCCCAGAGTGGTTTGTAAGGATATGTTAAGGGGATGGCACCACATCCATTAAAAAGTATGTGCTTAGGTAATATAATAAGTAAAGGGAATCTCAATATTTAATTTGATTTCAACTTAACCCCGTGGGCTACTGCTATGAGTGAACTCTCTAAATAACTCCAGCACATGAGAAGGCAAGTGGGTTTACTCTTATTCCCCTTTCCAGAGGCTCCTTCTCTTTCCCACTGCAGACTCCTCCGAGGAGTTGGGAACATCACCTTCCAGCCCATAGGAATGGGGCTGCCTGGACCCAGGGGAAAGGTCAGCAGTTCAACAGTCATCTTGTCACTAAGAACCTTACACAATGTAGATTTTGAGGCATCAGTCTCCCCCCAGGAGCCTGCACTCCCAGGGTAGCATCTCTCCATGGTATTTTAGGGAATTCTGCTGGCCCAGCCTATTTTCTGCCCCACATTGCCACGCCAGTCCAGGCCCTCACAGCAATCCCAAGATTACTGTGCTGATGTGATGAGATCAAAGCCCAGATTCCCTGGCCTGGCAGCAGCTGGACAAACATACCTGGCATGACCACGAAGGAGCCCTGTGGCTCCATGGCGACCAGGCAGGCGCTGAGGATGGACGGGGAATCCGCCGCCGAGATGCCGCACATGCGGCAAACCTCCTTGAGCTGCTTGCTGATTGTCTGCAGGGAACACTCCCCCAGGAGGATGCTCCAGTCTGCAAGGAGAGAGCAGCATGGTAGGACAGAGGGAATGGGGAGCTGACAGAGCCAGCACTCCCCTGGGAACAGCAGAACACTCAGAACACTTTCATTTCCCCGGCCCCGAACTCCCCCGGAGTGTCTCCCCTGCACACCAGGGCTCTGGCCCTGCACACTGGGTGCTCAAACACTTCCTGCACTGTTTTATTTTGTTCTGTGGCAGTTTCCCTTTGTTCAGTAACTCTTTTTGCAAGATTTTTGTGTTTGTTTAGTGCTGTTTAAGCCGAGGAATCAGAGTTGAATCCTGTCTGTGTTTCTGTGTCACGATAACTGTTGATCAGAGCTTTCCTAAGGTGTGATGAGGTCCATGACTTGGAAGGACACTGCAGATCCTGCAGGGACTAATGTCAAAGCCAGGGTACAAACAGGCAAAGTGTTTGTGCAAACCAGTGCAGGAGTTCAGTGCCAGGGTGGGACTGCAGCCTGCTCCCCTGCAACCCATGCTGCTACAGCCCAGCAGACACCAGCTTGGAGGATCATGGTGATTTTTCTGCCAGGTACTTCACACTCACATCCACCTGGTGAAGGGGGCATTGGTTTGAAGACAACAACGGGGTGGGGGACAAAGGGAGAGGAAAGGCTTTGGCAGCCCTGGTGTAGATTATCATAAACTTCTGAGGAGACAGCCTGGCCAGGCTGGGTATCTGCCTTCCCAACAAGGTTTACCCTCAGTAAAGTCTATCACAATAAACAACAGCTTATCCTGTCTGTGACAGAACTTGGTGCATCTTGTTTAACTTGTTGTAAAGTCACTGTTTTAAGAAGCAGAGACAGGACTCTGGAAGGTTAAGCTAAATACACTCAATCTGATTCACTATGTGATGGCAGAGGGCAGGTGATGCAAAGCTGTGAGGAATGGCTGAGTCCCCACCCCTGGAGTGCTCAAAAGCCCTGTGGATGTGACACTTGAGCATTTGGGACACTGGTGGCCTTGGAAGTGCTGGGGGAACAGCTGGACTCGATGATCTCAGAGGGCTTTTCCAACCCAAAGGATGCTCTGGTTCTGTGATGATCACTCTCAGTGTTTTAGTTTCCCAGGTCAGTTCTGAGCCCACCTTTCAGCTCCCCGTGGCCCAGCCGGCCCAGCCGACCGATGACGACCCTCCAGGGCAGGGATGTCATCTGGACAATTCCAATGCACCATTCCCAGAGCTTCTGCAGCCCGATCTTCCGGGCAGACAGCTTGCTCCTCCTCGACCTGCACGTTGAGGAAGGGAAAAAAACAGTGAGAAGAGAATCAGGGACAAGGTTTCTGTTCTCTGTAATTCTGTCACTGCTTACCCTCGGAGGAGTTGTTACAGTTCTGTGCAATCTCTAACAATTTTACTGCTCATAATAGGAAAAAACCATGTGTGTGCTTCCAGTACTGTTGCTGCAGTGACACACAAGAGGTGTCAAACTGCTGAGCCACACACCAGGTGTTCCTAAAGGTAAGAGTTGCAGGTAAAACAGTTGTAAAACAAGCTGTAAAACAACTGTGACTCAGCAACTTCTTCCTCTGCAGATCCTGAATTATCAGAGTGCCGACTGAAATTATCACTGTGACACTATCACGACCTCTTAGCAGGAAATAGGGCTGGAAGGGATGAGTGTGGGGGGTGCCAATGTGACAGAGGTGCCAGGGCCAGCCAGGGCCAGCAGTACCTGCTGGGCACGTCGATGTTGACGATGCAGGTCTCCAGCAGCTCCCCGTGCAGGTCGGTGCAGGACGCCAGGAGCCAGCGCTGGTCGTGGGACAGGCAGTACCCCACAAACAGCACGTTGTACTTCTGACTGGCCTCCCCAAAGGTCTCTCCCAGCTCTGTCTGCTTGTCTTTGATGGGTGCCAGGATGAAAGGAGGTGAGTACACCTGGATGGGGCTGGGCCTCTGCAACAGAGAGCACGTGATTGTCAGCAGACAGATCAGAAAGTATTTCTCACAAGAAACACTGGCAGTGAGTACAGAGAGAGGAGAGTGTGAAACAGTAAATAAGTTCAAGGCATTCCTAGTCAAGAGAGAGATTGGGGAAAGGGAGGTTATAGATAATTCATTGCTGTAGTTAAAGCTGATGCATTCAAACCTTATCTAAAGACTTCTTTTTATGTACAGGTATGAAACCAGTCCTTGGACCAGCCTCTGACACAGGCAGGAGTTTAAACCTCCTCAGCTGTCAGATGCTCCTGTTCCTTAACCATCTTTGAGGCCCTTGGCTGGATTTGCTCCATGTTTGTTGTTCTGAGGAGCCCAGAGCCAGAGGAGAGGAGAACCAGCACCTCCCCAGCACAGCCCCACTGCCCCTGCCCTGCTCCAAGGGCACAGGGCTGGCTCACACCCACCGTGTCCAACAGGACCTCCAGGTCTCCTTCTGCAAAGCTGCTTCCCACATGGTCCCCACAAAGCCATCTTTGCTCTCTAACTCCTCTGTGGAGAACAAATGTGATGGGCCTGACCAGACATGCTCCATAATTAAGAAATAGTCAGGGTGTTTTCTTAATTTTTCAGCAAAGTTTGGGAGTCTGCAGTGCAGACTGAGAGTAGAGATTTGATTAATTAATTGTGCTAAATGCAAGTGGCTCATGAAAACATTTTCCCTTTTTTTTGCTGTCTTTTGCATCTTCAGGAAATTAAACATGAAATGCAAAGTGCAAGTTAATCAGCTCAGAGGAAATGTAAGGGATGGTGTTTTCTCAGCGACAGGAAGGGATGTCCAGTGTTTCTGCTCCTGTCCCTTCCTGAAAGAACCATCCCAGCCTGGCAGGAGTGGAACTATCCCAACCTGGCAGGAGAGCAGGAGCATCAGTTCAAGGGAGGGAGATGCTCAGAGGAGTCTTGCAATTTTTTTACCCTTCCCCTCACACCTAAATAGCTTCAAGTGTGACTGTTGTAACCTGCTGTAAATCCACCCTGCTGGACAGACACCTCTGAGGGAAGCAGAGGAGGGACTGTGAAAGGGAGGTGCCTGAGGTCAGGCTGCTCTCAGGAACTCCCAGTGAGACACTATGGATTCCTGTGAGCAGCAGAATGTGCCAGTAGGCTGGGTCTGTGATGATTCTGCAAGTAGGCTTCAAACCCAACAAGCAGGCCTTTATCCCAAGGTAAGTTGAAGTGTTTACTGTCTATTAAACCTAAATAAAATATCCATTGTTATCCTTCAAAGAATGCAAAACATTCATAGAAAGTAGGATGGATTATCCTTCTTTTGAAATCCCTGAAATTCCAGAAACGAGGCTTGAATATTTACACTTTAAAAAAACAGATGAAAGACAAGCCCATGGAAAGAGGGGGATTTCTCCATTACCTCAGGGAATTAATATACCATCTGTAATTAGGCACAAGAACTTATTTCATATCTATGCATAAACATGTGCACAGAAATACAGGTTGGACATAAACTCTTGGTGGAGCACTAGAGACTAAAACCACAGAATGACTTGGAAACCCCAGTAACGATGTGCATTTTCTCTTCTTTCACACTGATCTTTAACCTTTTACTTTATGACTCAAAACCAGGAGCTTAAAATGTTTTGAAAGCAAGTAATCTGACATTTTTCCTACTGTTTTCTATTTAGCATTAGCTTGTCTTTTCCCTTTATGTTATCATTGTCTGCTGCACCCTGAAAAAAACGCTCCCGCCCGTGTTTTCTCTACTCTTGTTTTGATATCTGACCAAAGTGGTCACAGTTTATCAGCAGCCTCTCACTCCCTTGCCCCCAGTACCAACCTCGGGGTTTTTGAGGGTCATCTCAATGCTGGCAGCTGGCCCAAAGCCCGTGAGGGACTTGATGTGGATCTGGGTGGGCAGGGGCCTCCTGCACTGGCAGTACACGGAGAACGCCAGGGACTTCAAGTGCTGGATGTAGAAAACCTGCTCATCCTTCATTGTCTGCAGCATGTACTGGCAAGGCACAATCTGGGCAAGGCAGACACACAATCAACAGGACTGAAAGGCTTCCAAGGGCTGCTCATGAACATCAAACCAGACCCACATGTCACTGAACACCCAGGACAGTCGGTGACACCCCGTTATTGGCACCACAGCTCCTGCCAGGGAGCATCCCTGGGGCAGGAATGGCTGCAGCACTGCCTGCACTCCCTGGGACACAACTGCTGCTCCCATCACACTGACACAGTGAATTTAACCTCTTTCATCCTCAGTCCAAAATCAAACACCCCAATTAAAACGCCCTGAATTGTTTAAAAACTGTTTTTGTGACCAACACCTCCGTCTGCAGGTGGCTGAGCTGCACAGTCTCTGCTGCCCAGGCAGGTTTGGCTCCATGGCTTGGGGTCAGAGCCAGGAATTGTGTGCTGGACACGGGGAATTGGCACTGGGGTGTCAGTCAAGGAGTGTAGAGAGCACAGTTAAGATGCTGTTACAGTGATTTGTGTGGTTTCTCCTTTTCAACTCAGTAATGATTGGAAGCTCAGCCACCTCATGCTGCTGCTCAGCTTTATTTAAGTCACGTGGAGCAGCACCAGTGAATTCACATGTTCAACCAGCAAGAGCAGAGCCACAGGGAGATTTGCCTGTGAGATGAGTTTGGTGTTCAAGACCCAAACTGCACAACAAGAGCAGGAAGGAGAAATGGCACAGAAGTAAACAAAGCATGACAAAAATCAGGTTTCCAGTTCAGACACATTTTAAAATTAGAATTAAATCCCTGTAACCTGATTGTTTTAAGGTACTGTTTTTATTGCACAAGTCCCACACATGGCTCTGGAAGCATCTTTCCTTTCACAGTGAGAGTAGGAACTGTCAATGCAAACATTTCTGTTGTGGCCAACACTGCAAGACCCAAACAGATTCTTTCAACAAATATTTTCAGTAGTAATAAAACTTAAGTATCACAAAACTTTTACTACTTTATGGTTCTTGCTTGAACCATGAGAACTTTGGCAGCACGTTCTATTACTAAATGTGGCTGTGTGTTTTTAAAAGACAGTTTTACCCAGGAATTCCAGAAGCTGGGCTTTCCCCTCTGGACAGGAATTGCAATAAAGCTGCAAACATTTGGGGTGGATTTATTCTGAAGTAACTGCATATTTGGGTGTGCTGTGGTACAGCTGTGAGAATGTGGTGCTGGGAACTAGATCAGTTACCCTTTACTGAGAGAAAACTGCTGCTTTGACTTAAACTGGCCAACTATTTTGAGGAGCAAACAGTAAATGCCCAGAAAACAGACAATACTGAGAAAAAGGGTCAGTCCCTTGCTTGTCTGATCCAGCCTCAGATCCAGTGTCGATGGGACATCACAAGAACTTCCAATTCTCTTTTTTTATATATAATATGTATAATTTGAAATACTTCTGAGCTAAGGTGAGCACACCTGAATGAGGCCCACAGAAACCCTTCCCACACTGCTTCCTGCAGTGCTGCACATGGACAGGCACAGCCTGTGCCCTCTGGCCTCCCATTCTCCCCACAGTTATTCAGCCTCTGGCACAGAGCAGCCCTGGCAATGCAGGCAAGGCTGGGCAGGAGGCCAAGTGCTGCTTCTGGCTGCACAAATTCAATTCCTAAGCAATTCCAGAGTAAGTAACTATTATTATATGCCAAGTTACATGGTAAATTATTTTTAAGCAGCAGATAATAACAGTACAATAGTTATATTATGCATTAAATGTCTGGTTTCACATACTTCTTTTGGATTAAACAGCATAAATCAAGGGAATATAAACAGCAAACAACTCAACATGTAGAGCAATCAAAGGAGCAACTGGACATTCTTGGCAATGGCAACTCAAGTTGCAACTGAAATAACTGCAATCCCTCTCCAGGAAGCCCCAGGAGACAGATCTGACACAGGGATACTGGGGCTGCTTTAAATTTTTCCTCATCAAAAATCAAGGGGTTTTTTTTATATATAACCTTGTACTGCCAAGAAAACAATTCCTAAATGTCCCCTAAATATCCCATGTCATCTCCCACCCTGTACCTTTCAGGGTGTCACAGACGTGCTGTGAGGGGGGACCGTGAGGACGCGGGGAAAGGCGGCGCTACCTGGAGAATGAAAGAATTCCTCATGTTCTCAGGCAAGTTATCCAACATTTCTGTGTAGCATCTCATGAGACTCAGGAGCCAGAAGTTGGCTGAGGCAGACTCCTCCTCTGCAGTGTAGGTGAAGGGGTCCACCATGTAGATGACCACGGCAGGGGGGTAGGCGTTGCTGTCGGCGGCCTCTGGCTCCGTGGGGACCCCGATCCGCTCCCGCTCGGGGACCCTGCACACACACACACACACACAGAGGGGACAGGCACGGGAACAAGGGTCAGTCCTGCTTTTCTGAACACTCTGAGGGGCTGAGGTGGTGGTGGGGAAAAGGAAAGTACTGAGGAATCCTCGTGTCCAGAAGCAAAACTAAAACCCGTGACGACAGCGACAGGCGGGACTTTTACTCACTGCAGTTCCTAACCCAAAATACCTGGGTTTAGTTATGCATTAAAGATACACAGGGTCTAACATAATCTCATTTAATGCAATCAGAACAGATTATGTCTGAAGATTATGGAAGAGCTGACTGCTATTAGCTCTGTGAGTTTTCATGTAGGTGCTTGCCTGGGTTTTGGTGCAGTTTAGGGTTTGCTTTTGGGAGAGGTGGAGGGAGGAATCGAGCACAACAAAGCAATATTCACGGAGCCTGAAGTCCTGTTCAGGCACAGGGAAGGTTCCAGTGGTAATGGAAGGAGCAACTGAACATTTTTTACTCGGTAAAATGCTCCTCCAACCCCAACCATGAGCAGGAGGCTCAACATCTGTAAGTGATCAAAGCAGCTCAGACTTTGTCAGAAGCTGCTGCAGCTGCTCAGAGGGTGTTTTGCAGGGATCAGTGAACAGATGTCTCAAGGACAACCCACACTAGAGCAGGATGTGGGCTTTTCCCTCAACATACAGGAACTCCACAACACACACCGTGACTATTAGCAATATGCATTATTATGAGAGTAATGAAAAACATGTTCCCTCAGGAAGTTACTTACACACAATGTCAAAAAACCTTTCCCTAATTTTTATGTTTGATGGGTGGCTGTTCATAGTGAAGTCTTTAAAGGAGTTCAGCTGCTGAAATTTATTTTAAAGTAACAGGACTCCAACCCTGTTTCCTGACCTCACAGTGTACCTGCCTGAAAAACAACACCTGCACTGCAAGAAAATCAGAAAAAAAAAGTAATCTGTGGCTTGCACTTTGCATCTGTCAACATTCCAGGTGTGATGGAGCAAGAGGCATCCAGCTCCATGGGATATCCTGCAGTGCCTGACACGGGCAGGCCGAGCCAGCAGGTTTGGCACAGCACCTGAGAACCCCTCTGTGTTGGTGGTGCTGCAAAGACAGGCCAGGTGGGGAATCCTAGAGATCCAACACCCACATCCAGGCAGCTGAACCAGGCTTTGACTGTTGTAACAAAAACAGGGGAGGGTTGTTTTTCCAACTCCCCTTTATCAGGGACTGCTACAAACCACCCAGAACGGGCCCTGCTCCACTCCCACCTGCCAGAGGGGCCTCCCCTTTCCATGGGACTTAAGGGTTGCGAGCTCTGGGAAAGGATGGGAAGGCCAGTGGGTGTAAGGAGGAGCACTGTGAGCACTTACCCTTCCTGCCCTTCCTGCCCCTCCTGCTGCTGCTGGGGCAGGCTCTGCCCCTGCTCCGAGTCGGCCGCGGGGACGCTGCCCTGGGCTCGCTCTGCCGCGCCCGCCCCGGCACCGCCCTGCCCGGGGCCGGCACTGCCGCTGAACCCGGGCGTGGAGGAGCTGCCCGGCATCGGGGCAGTGCTGGGGGTGGCAGAGGACGCCGACAGCGGCACGGAGGAGCCCGAGGAGGAGGTGCTCCCGGCGGGAAGGCTGGTGGTGCCGGCGCTGGGCGTGGAGCTGAAGGAGCTGCCCGTGGCCGGGGCCCCGGAGAGACAGGAGGGGTTGGAGGGAGCGGGTCCGGCCGTTTTCCCGGAGCCATGCCTGGGCCTGGCCGGCTGGGCAGGGGTCGGGTACTTGGGGCAGCAGCAGGCTGCTGTCCAGCTGCAGGGTGGCTAAGTAAGGTGCTGGAAGGGAAGGGAAGAGGAGAGGGGGTTAGTGACAGTCCCATCAGAGGAACCCGCAGCAACCAGCAGGTCAGAAAATGCTTTCTGTGCTATTAGAATGTTCTAAGGAGATACAAATGCCGATGGATTTCCACTGTAAATGTTTGCTTTGGAATACGCTCTTCAGAGCTTCAGTTCTGACTGATATGAATCAAATGTCTTAAAAACAGGGCTGACTTTGCAGAGCTCTGTGACTGTGACTGACACATCCCGATCTCTGCCCAGCCCGGGTTGCAATAACAGTGATACAGTGCTCAGCTCTGCAGTCTAGGACAGGTTATCTCTGTCAGGCTGAAAGCCTGGAAGTCCTTTTTGTCTGAGGCAAACAGTGGCAAACTTTATTATAGTTATTTCTGCCCCTCAGTATGAGAAAAAGAGAGATCACAGTGATTATTTACAAGTAATAAATGAAAATTTCTTATTTATTTACTCTCAGAGGTGGTAAATCACCAGGGGGGAAGGTTCCAATGCTGCCCTGCCAGATGCCTCAGGGGCTTGGAGCAACCTGGGATAGTGGAAGGTGGCCCTGCCCATGGCAGGGAGTGGAACGAGAGGAGCTTTAAGGTTCCTTCCAACCCAAACCACTCCATCATTCTGTGATCTTTATGATATACAAACACCTTGTACCAAACTGACTGCTTTAAAGAGGTAAGAATTGGCTTTTCAATCTCTGACATGATCCCCAGGGTGATAAACAACAACAAGAAGGAGGCAAATTTAACACGGAAGGATTAGGAAATTAAGATAATAGCTTTTTAATTTTTAATTAGATGTTAATCTGTGCCTGAAGAACCCTCCCCCCTCATTTCCACCTCCTGCAAATCCCTCCCAGCCCCCCGAGCAGCCGGGACTCACCAAGGTGATGGCGGCAGACCTGGGCGTAGAGTTTGAGCCTGGAATGATTGTCCCCGTCCTCGGAGCCCCAGGGCTGGGGGAGCCACTCGGTGCCCAGCTCCTCGGGCAGCGTGGGGGCTGCGCTCCTGCCCACCCGCAGGATCCCGTCACGCAGCACTTTGCAGATGGGCTTGTGCTGGCCCAGCCTGCACATCTGGGGGGGGGAGAGGAAATGCTGCTGGGGAGATGCCAGGCACCTGGTTGGAGCCTAAACCCTTCGTCCCCAGCACACGCCTCAACAAATGGATCTTAAAAAAAAAAGGCTGTGTTTGACTGTGGATTGAACTGCAGTCACAGCAGAGCTGAAAGAGGGGCAAAGGGGGGCAGCGAGGCTGGGAAGGGGTTGGAGCAGCAGGAGGGGCTG